CTGTAATGCTGAGCGCCTGTTTCTTTTGCAAAGGCCCAGAGAACTGTGTGACAGCATTTTACATAAAATTCTAAAGAAAATAATGAATATATTTAATAAAAGAGAGGAGCCACGGCTCTGAGGAATCCAGACACTCACTACATAGATCCCTGTCTAAGCTCTAGGCTGCAACCTTATAAAAGGTTACAAATTATTAACAGCAGTTATGACAATAATTTTGATATACATGAACTCCTGTAAAAAAATATATTTCTGTAAGAGTAAATATTTTCTAATTCAATAAATGTCATTGAAGTTAAATCTTCCATATGATCTGATTCCATGAATCAAAATAATAATAATTTTCTAATGTTTGTACATCTTAACCATGCATGCCTGAAAGTATGGAGGTTACTGTATCTATTTAACTGATCTACTTTATAATACAATCTAATTTGTCGCTTGGTTTCTTCTCAGTAAAAGAATATTCAGGTTTAATCTGCTGAATGTTTCCGTTGTTGATTTGCACAGCAAAGATGAAAAGGTTTGCTTGTGTGCTGTGATGTGGAATCTCTGGTTTCCTTTTCTCTGTTCTAGATGCTCCCTGGGCCATCCTGCTGGCCAATATTGAACCCGAGTCCACAGCGGTGACAGTGAATGGCTTGATCCCGGCCCGCTCCTATCAGTTCCGCCTCTGTGCCGTTAATGATGTCGGGAAGGGGCAGTTCAGTAAGGAGACCGACCGGTGAGTGAAGGACAGACCTTCATATCTGTTCATCATTATTTCCCTTTTATTGGCATAAATGATAAAACATTTTTAAAAAGCCTTCATTTTTTATGGAGGGGCTGAAGCTTGAGGTTTTAAACACGCAGAACTTTCAAGGATATTTTTATATTTTTTTAAAAATGCAGCTTTTCTTCAAATTTTTCCACGACTTTGGTATCTATGCCAAATAAATGTCACCTTTGAATCCACTTTTGGAATGTGCTTCTCTTCTGGGGTCATGGTTTCAGCAGAATGAAGTGAATACAAAATAGGAGATTTTTTTTTCTCCATTTCTACTGAACAGATGGAAACTCACAGAATAAGAGAAACACAACGTGTCTTTGTTAGGGACGGGGGCTGAAACGAGCCTTTTTATATCGAAAACACATCTTTAGAATAACAGGAAAAGGAATTTCTGAAAATATTGTTTTATCTAATTAAGGTAACAAAGCTGAAAATAAATGTTTTGTGTTTCAGTTTTGTAGATCCAGACTTGCAACTGTTCTTAAAGAGGTTTGCTTTGTTTACAATCTGCCTTGTTTTCATACAATGTTTATTCAGCTTCCCAAAGGTTACACAGAATGTTTGTTTCAGGATGGATGGATGGATGATAAATGGATGGATGGATGGATGGATGGATGGATG